ATCTTAAACAAATGAAATCATACCTGTGAAGTATGTGATTTTGCAAGAGGAGATGAACATGCTTCTTGAAATTTTTCTTCATTAATTCCAACTTCTTTAAGATAACCAGCTAGCAGTTTCTCAACCTACAAAAAAAGTCTTACCTTTTAGTAGCTGCTTCCCCAACAGTAATAGAAATCACCAGGCTTTAAACTTCTCTACCAAAACCCACTTACTTCAATTGCTATGGGGGACAAAACCCAGCTTTTATTTATGGAATGGAGGGAAGGGGTGTACGCACATGCAGATCCTAGCTTTTATTTCTATACGATTCATATGAAAATCAGTACAATACTATTAAGAAAGTAAGATATAGTTAAAATATTTTTGTTTATACAGTGAAACTTATCTAAGACAGAATTATATGAGACTGCCTCTGCTTCTCCCCGTCTACCTCTCTCACTCAGCCAGCCTTTGTAATTCACACACCCACAAAATGGGTAATTATTTTCCGTGATATACAAGGTGAGTCTACAACTGGGCCCTAAATTTCCTTTCCATTTCCCTAGTAAGCTGTTTCTGGCATATATATGCAACATATGCATAATTCCTCATAAGGCATGTCGGGACCATATACATTTTCCAGCTTTAGCAAGTTCCCAGATTTTGCATGTACTGTATTAGACAAGGTACACCATATTGTCATGTGTATGTGAAGTGTCTTCCAAAAATCAACAGCAGCTTTCTATCACCATATTTGGGAGTCAAGGAAAAGACCACAGTAAAGTCATCAATGAACAAAATAGAAGATGTAGATTTTATCATAATCCTTTTATTTTCTTCATTTTGTTTCAACAGTAAATATCAAACTATCAGGTGTGTATTTTAACTGAAGACTAGGGACCTAACTGCTGTACCTATTAGGTGTCTAACTGGACTTAGATGCCTAAGTACAATTCTATTTCATCCTGTTCAAGTCATGAAAATGTATTTATGTGCCTACTTTGGTAATGTACCATCTTATCCTTAATACTGAATCAAAAAAGGCAGTGAGGAGCGGGTAGCCCAACCCACATGTTTCATTTTAACTGTTTTTCAAAGACTTGAGTAGAGTGGAATATAATTGAACTTAGATGCCTAAGTCCACTTACAAGCATAATAAAACCAGCTTCTTTTCCACCTAAGTCAGTGTTGTTCAATATGTGATGATAAGACTCAAACACTGTACATGCATTTTTCAAAATTTCTTGATAAGAACAATTTTTTAAATCTAACTGAAATGCCAAACACAAATATGAAATAGAATAAAAGATCAATTTTTAAAGTGCTGGTTCTTGCCTATAAAATACTAATTCAGGGGCCAGCAAATATTTCAGCTACAGAACCACTTAAGTTTTGGTGAGCTGTCAAGGGCCACAAGAGGCCCTGCCCCATGACAAGTACCCTGCCACCTGATCACAATTTTGGGACCAGAAGTCCCACCCCTAATCTCTGACCTTTGCCGCCAGAAGTCCCTCCCCTTGCCCCTGGAAGTACTCCTTTTG